GTCTGTATGGTTTTCTTTCTGATTTAAGCTGGAACTGATTTAAACTGGCACTCCATTGAAGTGGACGAGTATAAATGAAGACAAAATGTTACTCATTGTTTGAACTCAGGAAGGAACCACACAAACAGACATGGATAAATTTAAAGATATCAAACATACAGGCAGAAACAGGCATTACTAAAATAATGAACTCTACTTTAGTTCAAAATTCCAGGATAATTCCTCCTACTTTAGGTACATTTTCATTTTATTGTGAGTATGACTGAAAACTGCATGAAATCTGTCTTTTTTTTCTGGATTACAGTTACTGTTTTTGAAATTTAAAAAAAATGATAAGTGACGAGCAGACATCAGCAAAGATACACAGATACCATGACAGAGACTAAGGCAAAGTTTGGAGTCATTGTGATAGTGTGCATCACTGGAAACACAAGACTGAAACCAGTGGCAACGTTCGCCCTGACAGAGATGGAGTTTGGATGGTAATATCTGTCAGCTTTGGTGTGCTGTTTGTGCCAGAGTGACTAACACAACCACACTGGCTGACTTACAAAGAAGGAGACGCCAACAGTAGGTTTGTATACCAAACTCTACTTTTTAGGGTACCAACCGTCTGTACTAATAAATCAGCTGGTGTCAAACTTTGGTACCAGAACACATCTGGATTAGAGGAAGAACAAGAGTGTCAGAGGAGCGAGCAGCGATCTTCGGATGTGTTGAAGACCAACAAACAAAGATGGCAAGACAACGGCGGTGAGCTACAAGTTGTCTCATGCATGTTTAAACTTTTCATAACTTGACAACGCTCTCAGAAAATAACCATGGCAACACATCAAACCTGCTAAAACACCTGGTCAATCAGAAAATATATCTAAAACCTGAAGAGTGTACAATAGTTGAGCCTGAAATCCAAATTCACTGACAGAGCTGCAGCTAGCATCAGCAATGGAGGATGATGATGAAACACGAGACATCAGCAGCTTCATCTTCTTCAGGTCATCAGGCACTAACTGAGCATTTTTACACTGGGTGCACTCAGATTTCTTATTGGCATGTTACAGTAAATAAACCTTATGTGACATGGCCCATCTGTTGAGAAGTTTTTATTCATTTTGCCAAACAAAATTTGAAATTTTTGACACAAGTTTGAATTTATTATTCAAAATTGCTGTGAAGGAATTTATTATTCCTTCGCAGCAACATCTTTCATTGGCAGATGTGATATTTCCCACAGGTGAGCTCTTTGAGAGATCACTAAAAGTTTTTTTAATGTATTAAACTAAAGAAATTAAGCCGACTTTTTGACTTTCAAATATTGGGATCTGCTACCCAAAGAAGTAAGCACCATCAGAGCTTAACGGCTATTAACCAGCTACCCTCACACCACATCTGGTGAAGGTGCTGGAGTGGCTACACCACCCAAGACTCCAGGTGAAAACATCTCTGATGCTCTGCAGGACAAATCTGTCAGTGGATGATGCAATCATCTGCTTGTTACTAGAGTTATTGATCACCTTTGATTCCTCAAATAC